CACGCACACACGCCCACACGCACACACGCCCACACGCACACGCCCACACGCACACGCCCACACGCACACGCCCACACGCACACACGCCCACACGCACACACGCCCACACGCACACTCCCACACGCACACGCCCACACGCACACGCCCACACACACACACACACACGCACACACACACACACACGCACACGTATCCATGCGCAGAAAATCTGCATTGTGTTAGTCCTTTTGTAGGATAGCGGGAGTGAGGTTGGAATATCCCACCTTCGTGATACCAACTGCAACCTTGCGTTTTGCTGCAACATGGTTGCCAAGCAGGGCAACGTGACCTTTTTCCGACAGTCAAACACCATTTTCGGCCCAAAGCTTCTCCTGAAGGAGGCAGGGTACTTTGTGAGTGCCTGGCAACTCGCCAAATCACAAATGGCCTCCTCAACCCTCAACCCATTAAACGGGTCCAAGTTTGGGGTCCAGGGCTGCTGCCAGCACCTGCGAGAGCTAGTGCTCGCCGCGCCTCGGCCTGAGGGTCTCTGTCTCCGGAGCAACCATGGATTGTAGTTTTTGAGATTCTCCCTTGACCCTTTTTTCGCTTGACTTTTGTTTGGCCTCTGCTCTGGCTTCCCACTAAAGTGACTCTCCCCAGTCATGCCCCCGTTTTTTAGTACAGCCCGAAGCATCGGTGATAGCTCGTGTTAAGCTTGCGAGCGTGCGTCGCTTCGGCGGAGCAAGCAGACCCCCCCCCGCCCAATGGGAACATTTCTATCAGTACTGAGATATATCACCACTATCCTTTGGGCCGAACAGATTCTGGCCGAAGCAAGTCACGCTCATGCTATGGGCTTGCTAATCCAAGCTACTCTGTGGCCACAGGAAGTAGAAAGTATATTTTCGCTGTGTGTGCTACCATGATTGGGAGTTGTGTCCAAAGTTCTTCAACCTCCATTTCACAACTCATTCGTACTTTGGAGATCCAAGCGACAAACGTACCACGAATTGCTTACAGGCATACGCAATCAGATGCGCTGGGCGTTTCCCGCGAGCCGCTGAGGACAGCCAAGTAAGCTGGCTGCCGCAAGGCGAAGACGCGCGGCAGCTCCGGAAATATGACAAGAGACAAAATCTGCTGCCAGCCCTGGCGCTCCTGGACGCAGCTTGGTGGGTGGGTGGGTGGGTGGCTGGGTGTGTGCGTGTGTGAGCTTGTGTTTGCGTTTGCAATTGCGTTTGTGTTTGCGTTTGCGTTTGTTGTGTTTGTGATTGTGTTTGGTGTCTGTGTCTGCGTTTGCATTTGCGTTTGTGTTTGCGTTTGCGTTTGTGTTTGCATTTGCGTTTGCGTTTGCGCTTGTGCTTGTGTTTGTGTTTGTGTTTGTGTTGCGTTTGCGTTGGCGTTGGTGTTTGTGTTTGTGTTTGTGTTTGCGTTTGTGTTTGTGTTTGCGTTTGCGTTTGCGTGTGCGCTTGCGTTGGCGTTTGCGTTTGCGTTTGCGTTTGCGTGTGTGTGTGTGTCTGTGTGTTTGCGTTCGCGTTCGCGTTTGCATTTGCATTTGCGTTTGCGTTTGCGTTTGTGTTTGTGTTTGGGTTTGCGTTTGTGTTTGTGTTTGTGTATGCGTTTGTGTTTGTGTGTGTGTGTGTTTTGTGTTTGTGTTTGTGTTTGCGTTTGTGTTTGCGTTTGCGTTTGTGTGTTTGTTTATGTTTGGGTTTGCGTTTGTGTTTGCGTTTGCGTTTGCGTTTGCGTGTGTGTGTGTGTGTGTGTGTGTTTGTGTTTGTGTTTGTGTTTGCGTTTGCGTTTGCGATTGAATTTGCGTTTGCAATTGCGTTTGTGTTTGCGTTGGTGTTTGCGTTTGCGTTTATGTTTGTGTTTGCGTTTGCGTTTGCGTTTGTGTATGTGTTTGTGTTTGTGTTTGTATTGGTGTTGTGTTTGTGTTTGTGTGTGCGTTTGCGTTTGCGTTTGCGTTTGTGTTTGTGTTTGTGTTTGCGGTTGTGTTTGTGTTTGTGTGTGTGTTTGTGTCTGTGTCTGTGTCTGTGTTTGTGTTGCTGTTTGTGTTTGTGTTTGTGTTTGTGTGCGGTTTGTGTTTGTGTTTGTGTTTGTGTTTGCGTTTGTGCTTGTGTTTGTGTTTGTGTTGGTGTTTGCGTTTGCGTTTGCATCGGCGTTTGTGTTTGCGTTTGCGTGCGCATTTGCTTGCGCGTGCGTGCGTGCGTGCGTGCGTGCGTGCGTGCGTGCGTACGTGTGTGTGTGTGTGTGTGTGTGTGTGTTTGCGTGTTTGCGTTTTTGCGTGTTTGTGTGTTTGTGTGTTTGTGTGCTTGTGTTTGTGTGTTTGTGCTTGTGTTTTTGTGATTTTGTGTTTGTGTGAGTCTGTGTGTGTGTGTTGGTGTCTGGCCAAAATGAAGCAGCTTGGGGGACCCTACAGCCGACCTCGGTAGGGAAGGGAACTAAGCCGGCTCCGTCTCTCCTGCAGTCGTTGAGACAGTTCGATCACCTCCGCGTTGTCTTCTTTTGGTTCGTGACAACATGAATCTCAAGACTGGCGCGCTGCCCGGCCAGCGCCCAGCAACAAATGAGGAAGCATCGAACGACCAAAGGTGGATGGATGATTTTGTCGTTATTTGCGTGGTTCAGCCGAGGTGTCCCGGTGCCCTTTGAACGGCCTGCTGCGCGACTTTTTGGAGCCCTTGGCCATTCTGGCCCATGCTGCTTGGTTCTATACATGTCCGGTGGGATGACTTGGGGGATCATCACTACAATACCATTGTGAAATGGGGTTCGACAAAGTCGCATGATCTTGGGGGACACAACTAGTTCCCCACTTGCCTGGGTAATTTGGAGCGGAAAGACAGGGCCGGGATCCATTGTAATTGAAATCCCTTGGAGGTGTTGGAGAAATGGAGGATCGAGATTTTCAAGTCAAACCCCGAATTGGAGGTTTGGACGTGCTTGGCACCCAGAGCCACTGGGCCCCTCGCTACCTCCAAACTACCGGCCCCACCAAAGGGTTTGCTGAACGGTGACTTGGGGGAAGGGAAATCACCCAAACCATGCCCACCGACAAGCTCCGATTTCCCAGCCCCAGAGCTTCCCAACAGGTGGGGCGCATTGGTGCGGCCGGGTGCAACTTGAGCGGCGAGCTGCCCGACATGGGGCACATAGAGAAGGCGGAGGCAGCGACAAAAACGAGCCATGTTGGGATTGCGTGTAATCGGCACCGGTTAAAATGAATGGAACCTCCCATCAATATTGTGCGGGATGGCCCCACTGTGTGGCCCAAGCATGTCCTAAGACGAAGCCTCAGTTTGCTTCTGGCCAGTTGTACGATCTCACGCTGTCCGGAATATGCGGTATTATTAGGCAGCACACGGCCTGTCAGGAATCTTTGGCAGGGTTCATGAGCTTCTTCAAAACCTGAACCGACATGGAAAGCTGATTTCGAGGTGCCAGTGGTTTGGTCCTAAGCCCTTCAGGTCGCAGGAAAACACTGAGGTGAGGCCCTTCTGTACACGTAGTAGGCCAATACTTCAGGGCAGGCAATGACCTAATGTATTTCGGCTTGATGCCTTTTGATTTTGTTGCATACTTTTTGGAGCAGCGCAAACACAAAGAATCTCAGAGGAACCGCAAGGAATGGGAGTTTCTCAAAATGGCGGATCCCCTGTTTGATGGAGCAGGACACCAGCGATGGTAAGAGACCCAATTCGGATTCTGAACACCATCACCCGTGGCGCCGCAGTTCAGCTTCTTCCGCTTCGTGTTCGGATGGACGAGCGAGCCCCGGGCGTGCGCTTGAACTTCTCCTTTTTCTCCCAGCAAGTTTGCGATCCGCTTTCCATATGTGACCCCTTTTTTCCGGAGATGAAAGGAATCCGCCTGTGAATCGACTCCTCGCTGAAACAGGGTTTCGCGCCCCTGATTAGTGCTTGCCTCCTTAATTTCAATTCAACAATAAATCAATGAAGAAACATATTTCTCTCCTTTTTTTCTGTTTGGTATCTTCCCAGTCAGCTCGGTTGCCTGCGAGTCGACCAGACCGAAATGGTTTCGAACTTTGGGGTTGCTGTTGCTCAAGTGAGGCCGGGGACCTGTCCCGGTTTGAAACATAGAACACACCTTCGATCTGCTGCACTAACACAGTGCATACGAGCCTCAGCAGTCCCCTCGGCAAAGAGTATTGGCCCCATGAAACCCTAAAGGAACCACTAGGATGAGGGCCAAAGTGTTCTTGCAAGTGAGCTTCAGAGGGATTGTTCGGGGAAAATCGATTTCGGACAGAACCTAAGCTTCCCCTCAAGTATGGGGCCAACCTCAAAGTTTCAAGGCTCTAGGGAACGATCCCGTAAATGCAACTGGATGATTTTGTCGAGCACACTCCAACTGATTCTGCTGGACGCCGTTTCACGAGGTTTTCTCCGTGTGTGTGTGTGTGTGCACGGTGCTGGATCACGCCGCTAATTCAACCTTCTGACTTTCTACCAAGACGCAGGGGGCAGATCTCTTGGGCCGCTACCAACGAAGACGCCCTCTTGATCTGGTGATATGCGAGCTTGGCCAGCTTGCACGGCCCTGCAAACTCCCCGATTTGATGATGGACCCTATGACCCGTCGTTGTGTTTTTCCGTGTCACGTTTCTGCTGCTTCCATTGTTGGGTTTTCGCATGTCTGCACTCCTCAAATGTGTCGGCTATGATTTGCCTTTAAGTGTTTGTGTCTGTGTGTCTGTTTGTGTGTGTGTGTGTCTGTGTCTCTGTTGATGTTGCAACTCCTTTTGCTAAGGAACTGAGCAAGAGCCTCCAGATGCTGGACCTCGGCAACAACTCCATCTCCAGCGTGGAGGGCCTCTCGGCCCGGACCTACTTAAACTTGGCCTCCAATGGCCCGGCGCCTTGGACCAAAGGGCCGGAAGAAGCAGAGTTTTTAAGATTCCTGGGGGCTGAGTTTTTTTTTTAAATCAAAAACACTAACAAATACCAAAAATATAAGATCAAGACCCGTGGCCTCTTAGATTTATTGGGGTGCGTTTTGTTTTTTGTCTTTTTTGGCTGATGACATGCAAGCACAGATTCATTTTCGATCCAATGAAGACTCAGATGCATCCAGACCTGGAAAATGAGCTAGCTTCAAGCTACACAGAAGACAGCCTGTTGAGAACTATTTTGGCACAAATATCATTGTTGGACACAAATATTTAGTGTTTTTGGGGGCATGTACTTTTATCGCAACATGTTTAATTTCATGCCAATGCCCAACGCGGCATTTGGCTCAAGCTTTTCAACCCGTCGACTCGCACCCGCAATTTCGGCGCCAAAACATCGCGGCACGTGGTGTACTTCATCAGCACGTTGTGCTGTTGCCGTGCGCCTGTGGTGGTGTCCTTGGCGGAGGTTGGTCGGGGGTATTGGTTGGGGTTGGTGCGCACTGGTTTGCTTTGCTTGCTTCGCTGCATTGTTTGCCTGCTTGGTTTGCTGCTTTGTGCTTGCTTTCGGTTGTCTCTGCCCTTGCTGGGCTTCTTTACCTTGTTACAACTGGCACCCTGTTTTGGTTCGTGTTTGGCCAGCCGAGGGCACCACTTTGCCCTTGGGACTGGGGGGTTTAAACAGTCTCTTCTTGTTGGTGGGATTGGGCCTGTTTATTCTCTCCCGAAATACTGTTTCAAACCCTTTCGCAGGTTATCAGCCGTAGGATTCGTCCTCGGTTGGCACCGCGAACCCCTTTTTAATAACAACCCTGCAGGTACCGTAGGTTTCTGTAGGTATCATGGCGGGAATCACTGAGGACGGACCTCATGTGGTGACCGATGAATGGGTTCTCGGCCAGGCCGGAATCTTGGACGTTCCCTAAGTCTCCGGTATTGGTTTGTTTCGCGCGAGATGGAAAAAACCAATCGAGATTGGTATTTCCCATCGTGGATTGGTAAGTGGTGTAATATCAATATTGCAAGATTGGTTTGTCAAAAATATCAATATTTGACCTTCCCTAGCAACTAGCTATTTTGAAGGTTTCCTTCCTAAATTGCTTTGACTTTGCAATTAGGAACCTTCTGACTTTGCAGTCACATTTATGACTTTGCAGTCATTTCCCACCCTCCCACCACCCCCAGAGAACATGACTTTGCAGTTATGCCCCACCTTCCCACCACCCCCAGCCCCACCTGAAAGCTGTTGGCAAATGCCCTCCTCACCACGAACCTTAAATTTAGGATTGCCACAACTTCGCACCCCCCAGCCCCACATCACAATTAACCACTCCTGGCCCCAGACAAGAGCTGCTGGCAAAAGCACTTTTTTCCTTAGGCAGATTGGCCCAGCTGCAAAGTCATTGCTACATCAAGTTTCTCTGACAGCAAAAATGGCATGTCGCAAGTTGACACCCCCCTCAGGCAGCTGGAGCCAAGCTCAGACAGCCTTCCAACAAAATCTTCACTTCCATAACACCACACATAGCGAGGGTTCAGAGTCAAGCCTTGAATGGCTAGCTCATTGCAGTAATGCAATTTTGGAACCATTGACCATTGGCAGGTTTTTTCTTTCACTGCTTTTGCAGCCAGGAACTGGGATGTTTGCAAAGCAGCTTCCATGTGACCCAAGGCTGCCCTTGCTTCTTGTTTCTCAGGAACCAGGCCAGAGTCATACACATGGTTGTAGTACATGTCCAAGTGTGCCAGGAGGTCCTTCCTTTTCAAGGAATAAGTGCTTCCATCACACCAGTCTCTGCAGAGCTTGGAAAACACTGGCACCAAAGTCCTCACCTTAGAGCCAACTTTGACACAAGAGTTCCGCAAACTTGGTGGAAACAAAGACCCTTTATGATGCCAAGGGTCCTGGGCAGCCTTCAGGTGTGCCAGGCAAGGGTAGGTGGTACTCAGTGCCTTGGGTTTGGTAAAGTTGTTCAGGGTAAACTTGGACAGTGGCTTGCCATGCTTCTCCTTGGTGTTCTTGTATGTAGGCCCAAAGTTTTTTCAGGGCAAGCTGCCTTTGTGCAGCTGGAACCTTGCAAACAACAAAGTCAAAGCAAACATTGCCAATGCAATGGCTGCTGAAGCCCAAGTCCAGCACATGGAGGATGTCGAGGCACAAGGTGTAGATGGACACACCAGGGGCTTTGAAAATAGGGTGTGCTGGGTTTCTCTGCCTGAGACTTCTTGAAGTTCTGCACATGGCATTGCTGACAAAACCATTCCAAGGCTTGTCCTTTGGATCCCTGTTGGCACCACAAAGGTAGCAAGGGGTGTTGCTGCCCTGGTGCCTCATGCCCAAGCCATTTTGGAAAAATTCCATGTCACCCATGAAGCCAAACCTTCCCAACACGTGGAAAAAGTGGGTGGGGGGGCTGGAGTTCATATCCAAAAGGATCTGTGTCAGGCCATTTGTTCTCCAGAAGGGCTTTCAAGCTCCATGCCACCCATGAATACAATGTGTGTTCTGTACCATTTTCCCCATGGGCAGTGCAGCTCTTGGGGTAGGAAAAGATCCACAAATGCTCTTCCATGCCGGGCTCAGAGCTCAGCAGGCCCCTGAAACTCACAGTCATCAGGCTGTCAGTGGACTGAAACTCTGCTGCATCTGCATGCAGTAGCAAAGGAATGCACCTTCTCTTCCAGTTGTGTTTCTTCAGCATGGGGTGGCCCTTCAGCCTTTTGTCTTCCATGGGCATTGCTTCCCAAAAGTTCTCCAGGTTGCTGGTGCCAAAGATGCTTTCGAAAACAAGATTTGATGCAGAGCTTGAGGACAGGTGGTGCATCCACATGCATGGCAGCTTCACAGGAACTTCCCCCTGATCATGGTGCAGCCCTGATCATGGTGCAGCCCCACAGCCTTGGGGTCCAACCTAGGGCACTTGAGTGGCACACTTGTTGGGGCAAGGCTGGAGGAGACCTTCTGGAGCAAATCTCTATGACAATTGTTTGAAGCCATTCCGTAGTTGCCAAGCAAAGCCAGCCCATGGATGTCATCTTGCAGGCACCCTGACAGCCTGGCAGAGTGAGCAATAGCCTGAACATCAACTGCTGATATCTTGCCCCAGGCCCATTTGGTCAGCAAGCAATGGGCCAGTGGGGACAAGGACTGGGCCCACCCAATAGCAGCAGCAGCCAAGTCTGCATGTTTCCTCTTTCCCATTGCAACCTGCCAGCAGCTGCCAGAACAATGGAAATGCATAAAACATATGGGGT